CCCCCAGCGCCCCTCTCCCTCCCTGTGCCAGGCCTGCCTTTCCACCCCGGCCCCCCTGGCCCTCCCCCAGCGCCCCTCTCCCTCCCTGTGCCAGGCCTGCCTTTCCACCCTGGCCCCCCTGGCCCTCCCTGAGGGGAGGCAGGGGGAGAAGGGGGCTCGCGGTGTGACCTGACTCTGCCAAGTTCACCACGTGACCTGGGGTGAGCGCCTTGGGCTCCCCATCTGTGAAGCAGAGGCACCAACGGTCACCGGGAAGGGTTCCCGTGAGGGTGTGTGACGTGCACCACGTGGCCCAGCCGCTCAATGAGCCCCACTTCCCTCCCCGTCAGCTGCCGGAGGAGCCGGGACGCCTCCCGCTGCCTGGTCCGTTGTGTGGGACACACGATGGGGACGCACCTCATTCCCCGTGTGTCTCCTGCTCAGCTCAGGACTCAGGAGGGCCCCGGTCAAACTGACCTAATGCAGGGAGCACAGAGCAACCCCTTCCCCCGCTTTTGTTTCCTCAGCCTGGACCTCGTGGTGTACATTTTAAATATATACATTTTTATCTATGTCAGAGAGGAAGGGAGAGGGAGAGAGAAAGGAACGTCAATGATAAGAAACATTCATGGGCTGCCTCCTGCACGCCCCACACTGGGGATCGAACCCCCAACCCAGGCTTGTGCCCTGACCCAGAATTGAACCCGTGACTGCCTGGTTCATAGGTTGGCGCTCAACCACTGAGCCACGCCGGCTGGGCCATAGTATACATTTTTTTTTAAATTTATTTTATTGATTTTTTACAGAGAGGAAGGGAGAGGGATAGCAAGTTAGAAACATCGATGAGAGAGAAACATCGATCAGCTGCCTCCTGCACACCTCCCACTGGGGATGTGCCTGCAACCAAGGGACATGCCCTTGACCAGAATCGAACCTGGGACCTTTCAGTCTGCAGGCCGACGCTCTATCCACTGAGCCAAACCGGTTAGGGCGAATAATATACATTTCTAATGCAAGAAGGATTATTCAGAGCTATTAACTTTTAGGAACAGTCTTCGCAAAGAACTTCTGAATCTTCCGTGGGGGCTGTGTTTACATAAATATTTACCGAGTTTAATGGTTTCAGTGTATATTGCAAATAACACTTCCAGGCACAGTTCCCATTGTCGCTCAGAGCAGACTGAATGCAGCGTTCCCTGTTCTCCTCTTAGCTACAGAGAACACAGCTCTGGGGCCAGCGGCCAAGGCAGCAAGGCGAGGACGGAGGAGAGCTGCTCCCAGGTCCTCGCTGAGGCTGTCACTCACCCGCCTGAGGCCTGGGCCCAGCCAATCAGCTCACCCGGCCTTTGTTTCCTGTCTGTAAAGCGGGGCTAGGAAGAGGTCAGAGCATCGCCCTTGTAGGGATGCTGTAAGATTCCCTTAGAACAGCTGTGGGCAAACTACGGCCCGCGGGCCGGATCCAGCCCGTTTGAAATGAATAAAACTAAAAAAAAAAGACTGTACCCTTTTATGTAATGATGTTTACTTTGAATTTATATTAGTTCACACAAACACTCCATCCATGCTTTTGTTCCGGCCCTCCGGTCCAGTTTAAGAACCCATTGTGGCCCTCGAGTCAAAAAGTTTGCCCACCCCTGCCTTAGAAACTGTACCCAGAAGAGCTGGCTAGCGTAAGAGATACAGCGTAAATAGTACCGGTCGGCACCCCAGCATTGTAGCGATTCACCAAAACAGCCCTGACGCCCGGGGTTCTAGTCGCGAGGGAAACCCAGAGTTTACATGCTTCCCAACCTTTCGTAAGAGGCAGCGTCTCCGTTGTTTGGGAAAGAAACGCTCACGTCCATGCTCGGGGGACTGCCGTGGTGATGCACCCGGGGACCCGCGACTTCCCAGTGGGTGGCGGGTGCTGGGGCCCTGGGATTGCTTCTCGCAGCGACAGCTGATGAAGGTGGAGGACTGGGACTGGGCTGTCACTCGGGGAAGGGCTCCACGCAGCCGGCTTCCTGCTCCTGGCAAAGCCTCCTGGGCCTGCGGATTCCCGGGCCTCAGAGAACGGCTCCATTATCTGTAGGACCCGCACGTGGTGTAAGGGGGGGCGCGTTCTTCAGGTGTCGGCCTCGCCCACTCAGAGGGCCGCGAATGGAAGAGCCACGATTTCCTGTAGCTGCTCCATTTGACAAGCTCGAAAGAGATGCATCGTTCCTCGAACACGGCAGTTCACCAGGAGAAAAACCCCCGCGTAAGTAAATCATTAAGCCACAATTTACGGCAATTAGAACAATCCCCATTCGTCTAATTCTGAAATATTTAGCAAGTATGGATTGGGCATCTATTACAGGCCTAACGATATTATTATTGATAAAAGCATATATTCAACCCAAGAGCGAAAAATGACGGGGGCTTACAAGGAGCCAAGGAACAACGCTGGATTCTCGTGGTCAGAAGTCCTCCTGGGCCGCCGCGGACCAGAGTGGCCTCCCCCTGCCCCTCCGGGCTTAGGGAGCAGGTCCTGTCCACCCTGGGGAGGGGGCAAGGAGGGGGGCTGAGAAGGGACCCCGAGGGGTGGAAGCACATCTTTTACCAAAGGACGGCAAGGCCCGGTCTGCGAGGCCGGAAGTCACTGCGGGAGAGAATCATTTTCCAGAAGGAAGGTGAACCACGGCTCGCCCTGGGAAAATGGAGGAATCGGCATTGACCCCACACCCCTGCAAGGAGCGAGTCTGCCGCTGAGAATTCTGTGGAGGTCGAATATTGCAAACATGCACTCGCCTGTCTGGAACCTTCTGTGGGACCTGCACCCCCCCCCCCCCCCCCCGGCCATCATCCTCGCTGTGGGACAGTGACGGTGGCTTCCTCACTGCCTCTCCCCATGCTCTGCCATGGGAACATTACTGGTTAACAAGCCGACGTCCTCACGGCCCCGCTGAGTGAGCACATCAGCAGTTCCCGGGGCCCTCGGGGTGAAGGCGGGCCCTCGGGGTGAAGGCAGGCCCTGGAAGATGCTGAATGTCCTGCCTGGTCTCCCCCACCCGCTTCTTCTCGCCCCAGACCCACTCGGTCCTCGAGGCTCCCTCCTGGACCCGCCACCCCTCTCACTTTGCCTGGCGGCTTCTCATCCTTCCAGCCCGAGTCCCATCCCTAGAGAATCCGGGTCCCTCCCTGGTTCTCCACCAGGAACCCACCTCACTGACAATTGTCCGCCTGCTCTGACCAGCGGATGTGGACAATCACAGCCCCGAGGGGGCCCAGGGCAGACTCACACGGATGCTCAGGGTGTGGGCGGAACGGACACATTAAGGACAAGAGGCAGCCCGGCCGGCGTGGCTCAGTGGTTGAGCGTCAACCTGTGAACCAGGAGGTCACGGTTCGATCCCAGTCAGGGCACATGCCCAGGTCTCAGACTCCATCCCCGGTGTGGTGCGTGCAGGAGGCAGCCGATCCATGATTCTCTCTCATCCTTGAGGTTTCTATCTCTCCCTTCCTTTCCTTTTCTCTCTGAAATCAATAATATATATATATATATATATATATATATATTTTTTTTTTTTTTTTTTTTAAAGGAATAGCTTTCAGGGCAATCACCTGGGCCCGCCTCTCCTTCTCTACACGCCATCCCCAAGGTGCTCCAAGGACCCACAACCCCCAGTGCCACACTCCAGGCCCAGCTCCGAGAGCCTGGAAAACCACCCTGGGATGCAGGGAGAACGGAGAGCCTTGCTCTCGGAATAGGAAAAAATATATATCTAAACAGAAAAACCAACAGAGCTTTGTTTCCACACCAAGCTCGGCCCCCTGGGAAATTACGCTCGGATGATTTATGGAGCGCAGGCCCTTCGCTGTCCCACACTTGGCAGTGCCGGCAAAGACAACAATAACGTATAATTGATTCCACTCGGATCTGGGCAAGTCAATAAAAAACTTTGTTTATACATAATTTGGTTGGGCACGTCTCCCAGATGGCGCTGAAATGTTGCATTTTTTAAGATGTTGCGTTGGGGCCAGGAGGATCATAAATTATGAAGCTACTGTGTCTTTTGTATCGTTACAGTCATCTCCTGCTAATCACAGTGACGGTCGCTGTGAGATCTACATTCCACGTGAGCGTTACTCTGGACATTTTTAAAGCTTCAGTTATTCAAGGGCCAAACGTCCCGCGAAGGGCTCCTGGGCCCCAGAGCCCCCCACCTGCTCACAGGAGGGTGATTTTACAAACGAGAGCCTGTCGTGAACACACAGGCGTCTATGCTCACACGGGGTCAGCAGAGCAGGCATACGCTCCGCCACCGGTTCTCGGGCACCTGCTCCCCGCAGACGAGGTCGGAGCTGGGCCAGGAGGCGAACGCTGCGTCGGCAGCACGTCCCGCTCTCCAGACGTGGAGCGTGTGCCTCGTGAAAGATCAGACTGTGTGTCTCCCTTGTTGCCGCATCCGACAAAAATGCTGCCCAGGTCACCCCGCAGCCCAGAGGGTGGGCATGTGATGACGCGATGTCCAATAGAAGGTCCCGGCTCACGCAACGTCTCCGGGTAAAATGGCAACGAATACACATCTACCAACAACGGGATCTAAAAAGCAAAATAAACAAGCAGAAAAGAAACAGACTCAGATACACAGACCCCTGTGACGGGTGCCAGAGGGGAGGGGCTGGGACTGGGGCTGGGTGAGAAGGTGGAGGGATGAAGAAGTAGGAATCGGTAGTGACAGAAAAGCCACGGATGGAAAACACGGCACAGGGCACACAGTCAGTGATGTTCTAAAACTGCGTGTGTGCCAGGTGGTGCGGGGTCTATGGGGCCGGCGCTCGGTGAGGTATGTCATGCCCGCTCACCGGGTGCGCACCTGAAACTAATAGAGTACGTGTGTCAACTGTAACTGAAAAATAAACATGTTTTAAAGACTAGAAAAGAAGACAAAGGAAGGAATGCCTCTGGGGACCGAGGGCACACCCGGGAGCTGGCAGGCGGCCAGGCCGCTGAGCTGGCAGCCACACGCCCACGTGACCCCCTCCGGCGACAGGCCTGCCGCAGAGACCGAGGACAGAGCGAGCTGTCGCTTCCAAACCCCATGGAAAATTACCGGGAGGCCCAGCCGCGGGCCTCGGCTTGTGACCGCTGCTTCTCCCCGAGGCCGCCGCACACCTGCTCCAGGTGAGGGGCCCGAGCGTGGGAATCAGAGGGCCCCCAAGTCCCGGCAGGAGGCCCGGGCGCCGGAGCCGATGGGAGGAGACTTGCAGGGGGGCACCGAGCCACCTGCAGGCCCGTTCATCGGGACGGCAGCTGCACCAGCGTCTGCTTGGGGGTCAGGGGCAGGGCTGGAGAATGTGCAGTTCCAGCAAGTGGCCTCGCACGTGACCAGTACATAGCGCTGGGGGGAGGGGGGATTGTGGAGTCACAGCTAAGCCCAGGTGAAGCCGATGGAGACCGTGGTCGGGGAGACCGAGCCTTGATGTCGGAAACAGCCCGGTTTGATAGACACCAAAGGGAATCCGGACTCTTGAGAGGAGAGTGGGGTCTCTCCCTGGCACCTGGTCTGAAGGGGCTCCTGGGCAGGGAGGCGCCTGGATGGCGGTCACCAGGGAAATGCAGTCAGGCGGCCAGCAGTCGGGGCTGACACAGCCCTGGACAAGCGGGGAGGTGGTGCAGGTGCAGAGAGGGAGCCGCAAGCCCCCACCCAGCCTCGTCCCAAGGGGAGCGCAGGAGCCCTTCAGGGGTGGGGCGGTCTCCCCTCCCATTGCAGCCCCTTGACAAGCCGGCCGTCCAGCCTCATTGAGCCTCATCATCTATGACATATGTGGTACCTGGAGACAGAGGTTGACTGTACCTACTACGTGCAGCCACTGTGCTGCGTGCCACAGACACACAGCCGCAGAGGTTTAAAAGATAAATAGATAAGTGATAGGTAAGTAGATAATAGGTAGATGACAGGTAGCTAGCTAGATGATAGCTAGATGATAGATAGATAAATAGATAATAGATAATAGAGAGATATAGTTAGATGGTAAATAGAACACATGTCACACTTAGGGAATCGCTGGCCAAAGAGTATAACTTTAAGTGTATTTCCTTCTTCCACCAATTTTATAATTTAAGAAAAAGTCACCTCTGCTTGATAGAATTTATTCTTTATATACCAAAGGGATAGGCATTACTACTTTAAATAAAAAATAACTTGGAGCCCTGACCAGTTTCTCAGTGGTTAGAACAGCGGTTCTCAACCTGTGAGTCGAGACCCCTTTGGCGGTCGAACGACCCTTTCACAGGGGTCGCCTAAGACCATCCTGCATTATCAGATATTTACATGACGATTCATAACGGTAGCAACATGACAGGTATGAAGTAGCAACGAAAATAATTTTATGGTTGGGTCACAGCATGAGGAACTGTATTTAAAGGGCCAGAAGGTTGAGAACCACTGGGTTAGAGCGTCAGCCCACAGACTGGAGGGTCTTGGGTTCTATTCTGGTCAAGGTCACGCACCTGGGTTGCAGGTTCGGTCCCTGTCCCTGGTCAGGGCACACGTAGGAGGCAACCAATCGATGTGTCTCTCTCACATCAATGTTTCTCTTCCTCTCTCTCTTTCCCCCTCCTCCCTCCCTCCCACTCTCTCTAGAAATCAGTGGAAAAGCATTCTCAGGTGAGGACTAAAAATAAGTAACTGTGAAATGTGCCACTGGAAGCCACTGTCCCTTAAGCCCTTCGAACCCTCTTCTCTCGGAAACAGCGTGACACTCCAGCCGAATGGCGTCTTTGTCTCCAACCGTAAGAGAGCGTGGCGTGCCCTCCAAAATCAGAAGGACGTTTCCCAGTTATGGTTTTACGCCGCGTCTTTATGGCGTCATTTGCTTTTGTGAGGCGAAGGCGCTGAAGTGGAAACCGCTAACAAATAGGGCGGCTGGAAACCGGCTCCGGGGTGTAAGTTCCCATTCATCTCACTGGGGAGGAAAGTGGGTGTTGGTTTGCATAGCTAATTATTGGGAAAGCAGAGGCTCATTTGTCTCAGTGAACATTCCTTAACCAAGTGAGCAATTAGCATGCATCTCTTTAATTACACCTTGGGGGACGCAGCGGGCACCAGCCACATGCACGGGGCCAGTTACCCGGTCCCCATTCGCCTTATATGCCAACAGAGATGGGATGGGATGTCCTGACCACCGGCCAGCCCCCTCCGTGTGCTCCCGTGGTGTCACCGGCTGCACAGATGGGCACAATAATTGTTGAATGAGTGAGTGGGCAAGTGAACGATCGAATAAGTGGCAATTCAACACATGCTGTGAGCCCTCCACTATGGCACCACTGGGCACGTGAAGTCGTTTTTTTAAATATATTTTTTTAATATTTCATATTTTTGTATTGATGTCAGAGAGGAAGGGAGAGGGAGAGAGAGATAGAAACATCAGTGATGAGAGAGAAGCATTGATCGCCTGCCTCCTGCACAGCCCCCTACTGGGGATCCAGCCCACAACCCGGGCACGTGCCCCGACCGGGAATCGAACCCTGACCTCCAGGTTCATAGGTACAGGCTCAACCACGGAGCCTTGCGGGCCGGGCGCAGGTGGACGAATATTTGACCTTGAAATCCAAGCGCTAATGAGCCGCATAGAAACTACTGGAAGCTGAGGCGAGAAGAGGCGCTCCTGCTATGGGTGACGGTTAATTTCCTAGCACATCACCTGGAGGTTCCATTCGTTCACTCGCCTATTATTGCCAGAAACAATGACCTATAGCGTAAATGCCCAGCAATCGCGAAACAGTTGGGGAAATAATAGAATTGCAATGTTCCACGTTGCCATTTAAAATGATATTAATGCCGCGCTCATCATCACACGGGGAATTTCTTATGATCGAACATTAGCAGGGAACTAAATGGTCTGCACCACATCACGTTACAGGAAGGCCATTACGGCAAATGCACTTTTTAAAAATCAGAGAATTCTAACTGAACGCCGGGAGAAAAGACCAAGAAGGGCGACACGGTTAGGAGGCAGTCTCTGCTCTGCTTCCGGTACTGGCCAGACTTCCTGAATGAGCACTTACTACTTTTATTATATAAAGAAATCATAACCTTTTCTTCTTATGATACGAGGGGGTCTGTAGCAGCCCTATGCCCACAGGCCAGCTGAGGATTGCTGTTCTTGGTTTTCCTGAAGAGGGGGATCTGATGAACTCTGGGGGTCCACAGGGCTTTCCCCCAACTGGAGGGTGTGGGGTCTGAGCTGCAGGGAAGTCCCAGGCCCCGCCCCACGGCGGCCACCCCTCCCGGGTGACTGAGGGCTGCCTGAGTTCCCAGATGAGCGGGGTTGGTGGGGACTGGAGCCAGAGCTCGGGCATCGGCCATTCCTGCTAATTCTTCAGACCTGGACGCCTCACTGCCTCCCATGTGACATGTCCCAGGTGTTTTAGAATCAAGGACTAGTTTGCACAAGGTCATCTAAGAAACTGGTGTCATGTTTCTTCTCATTAACATGCAGCTGAGTATCAGCCTGGACTGGGAGTCAGCTCTGGGTGGGGCTCCTGGGACCCAGTGGCCAGGCCAGGAGGGTGAGGACAACCTCTGGACACCCCGGGGCCCAGGGGAGAGGACAGAGCTGGGCCGTGGTCAGGGGTGGTGGGCCTGGAGCACAGGAAGGGCCGTGCTGAGCTCCCAACAGGACCTCTCAGTGCCCCACAGCGAGGACTCACTCTGGGATCCTGGTAACCGCCCCTCACTGTGTGGGATGTGAATAGGGGGGTTTCGAGGGTCCTGTGGGAACAGCCACACATAGGCCAGGAGTGTGGTTAGTGCTGCTACTATGCCCCCCACCTCGGCAGCCCCCGCGGTGTCTGCCCAGGGAAGCCCTCATACACCCACATGCCTCCTGTCATGTTTAATTTTAAAGAAACACCTTTAAGGTTTTATTTAACAGCATCGAAAATATCGCTGTCATGGGGACAACATTCCTTTTTAAGTTGCTTAGTGAGATGTCAGCCACTTAGTACTGGAGGCGCTGCAGTCATCTACCTCCAGCCCGCGCTGCACATGTGCTTGGGTTTGCCGTGCGGGGCCATGGCATGCGAGTCTTTTGGAAGAGGAGACGGAGGAAGAGCCAGTGTCGGGAAATAGAGAGTGAGACCACCAGGATGGACATAAAAGGCCAGAGGGAGAGGGGGGAGATCATTCCAGAAGGGTAGGAGGGGCCCGGACCATGCAATGCGTGGACACTTGCACAGGCCTCAATCTGCAGGGAACAGGGAGCCTGGGGGGGCGGGGGCGGGGGTCCCAAGCAGAGGAGTGAGGGGATCAGAGGTTGGATCTCGGCAGGTCTTGCAATAGGTTAGACCGGAAAACACACCCCTCCCCCATCCCGTTTGAGCCCCTCCTCATTTGGTCTCTTCTTTCCCTATTAGGAAGACTCCTTGCTACCTGGGGCAGGGCGTCTCTGTCCCACACGGCTCATCGGCTCATCTTCCCGCTCCTCTGTCATCCGCATCTTGCAGGCAGGCGTGCCTGACCACCTGCCCCGTCCGCACCTGCGCAGTCTGTCCCTCCGCCTGATGTCAAACCTGCCTCGTTCCAGAGACTCAGGACCACTCGGTGGTGGAAAGAAATCAGGCGGATGTGTGGACACACGAGTAAATGCAGGACCAGTGAATGCCTAAGGGAATGGCAGCATCCATGGCCCAGAGGCGCCAGAGCTGGCCGTGCACCTGGGAAGTCGGGGCATTAACGGTGACTGAGAGGGAGGTCCCTGGTGCCACCTGGGCCTGCCTCCCACGCTAAGGTCCAGTCAGTCTCCCTGGCCCCTTGAGACCCTCTCCATCCTCCCTGTCTCATTCCCGGCGGACAGACCTTCTCTAAGACGAACTTATGTGAGAGTGTGAAGCCTCGTCATGTCCACAGTCCTCTAGAAAGATGGAAACCCTCGTGGCTGAGGCAGGTTAAACCAGGGCCTGGCCTGGCCAGCATGGCTCAGTTGAGCATCGACCTATGAACCAGGAGGTTCACGGTTCGATTCCCGGTCAGGGCCCAGGCCCGGGTTGTGGGCTTGCTTCCCGTTGATGTTTCTCTCTCTCCCTTCCTCTCTGAAATCAATAAAAATATTTTTTTAAAAGCACACAAAAACGGGGTCTGCAGAGACGCGCCGTTCTCTCCTGGCTCAGCACCCCTGCCTCGGGGCTCCTCCGGGCGCCTGGGTGAGAAAGCATTTTTCCAAAAACTCCTCCTCCATCCAAATTAATCGGTGAAACTGGGCTGAGAGGGAGCCCGGAGCGTTGGGAGGGTAAGTAGATGCTGGGTCTCCCGATGACATGCGTTTTTAAGGAGCCCGCCCTCCGGGGTCTCTCTTCATGACACCGAAGCCCCGTGTGGGCAGCCGTCACGCCTGTGACTGCAGCGTCCGGGGTAACAGGCCGCGGGCTTGCTCGCCGCTGTGCTATTCGGGCTGTTGAGATACAACATTTCAGAATCAGACGTTTTAAGGGCAATCACGGCAGTCTGACCATGGGCCTGGACTCCCCTAAACGCATGAGAAGCGGAGCAGCTTGTGAGCATGATAATGGGAAGCAGCGTTGACGAGGCAGGAGGTGTCCACAACAGCCACCCAACTGGAACCGAGCTGTGTCAGAATCTGTGTTCTGTGCATTATACTCGGAAAGGCGCCCCCTGCCCCCCGGCCCGGCATGTGTCCAAGGCACCCCCTACCCCCCGGCCCGGCATGTGTCCAAGGCGCCCCCCTACCCCCCGGCCCGGCATGTGTCCACCACCCACGTGGCGGGTGGCACTGGCCCACCCACAGATGGTGAGAGGATTTGACGAGACGGTCTACGGGGTTGGGGACAGATGGGCTGCCCCGTCCAGCCTCGCAGGTGGCGCACTGAAAGCTGTTCACAGAGAATGACGCAGGAGGCAGGCGGGGTGGCACGGCTCAGGCAGCGGTTTTCAGCCGGTGCGCCGGGGCACCCGTGGTGCCGCGGGAATTTTTACAACGTGCAGTACCTACTTTAGTCAGGAGCCCTGGCCTCTGCCCCCTTTGGTTGTCAAATAAAAAACGACAGCAGCCAACACAATCATAGCTGCCCAGTGTGAATGAATCAAAATTGTTCCCATTTTTTTTTGTTCAGATGGGCAAAAAATATTTTTTTCGGTTGTCGCTGAGAATTTTAGTATTAGCCTGTGTGTGCTGTGAGATGAAGAGGCCGGGACTCGCTGGGGTCAGGAGTTACTCATGAGCCCTCACCTGGAGGGAGCAGCCGACCCGCCGGGGTGCCCTCAATGGACATAGCCGAGAAGGGAAGCAGTGAGCAGCCCTCAGTCCCCTCACCTGAGTACACTGCTGTTGGGGTGCGAACAGGGGCAGCCCCTCTGAAACAGTGTGGAGGGTCCTCAAAAGATTAAAAATAGCCACTTCGCTTTGGGGCATTTGTCTAAAGAAAATGAAAACACTAACTTGAAAAGACATACTGTATGCACCCCCATGTTCATCGCAGCATTATTCACAATAGCCAAGACATGGAAACAACCCAAGTGTCCACTGATAGAGGGATGGATAAAGAAACATCCATGATGAGAGAGAATCATGGATCGGCTGCCTCCTGCATGCCCCCCAACTGGGGATTGAGCCCGCAACCCGGGAATGTGCCCTTGACCGGAATTGAAACTGGGCCCCTTCAGTCCACAGGCCGAAGCTCTATCCACTGAGCCAAATCGGTCAGGGCCCAAATTCTCCCTTTTTCACATTTTTCCATTCACTTTTCTGCTCATATAGGGGCCATATAGTATAAAAATAAATTCTAATTCATGTAAACACGAAGACAAGTATGAAGGCTAAATTAAAATGTCTGTAATTCCCGCACCCAGAGCTAATCATTACTTAAGTGTTTATGTATCTCCTGCCAGTCTTTTTACATGTGCACTTACACACACTATTTCTGCAAAACTGGCTGCATTCTGTACATATTTGTGCTGTGACTGCTCTCACTTAGCACGTTGTCCTATTTCATCAAGCGGCCTCCTGAAGCATGGTGTGCAAGGTGCAGTCATCCATCAGGGCCACACAGATAGAACACATTTCTTCAATTAATAACTGCCAGCCACTCCACTGTCCCCGATGGTTTACTATTTCAAATGATATTGTTAGGAACATTCTTACACATAAAACATTGTGCACCCCTCCGATGATCCTTTTAGAAAAGTGACTCCAACCCACTCCCTACGTGACCATTTCTCTCTCCTTCCTTCCTTCCTTCCTTCCTTCCTTCCTTCCTTCCTTCCTTCCTTCCTCCTCTTCATCTCTGTGGACAACCCTCCCTCTTTTTTGTGTGTTAATCCTCACCCAAGGATATTTTTTCCATTGATTTATGTTAGAGAGAGTGGAAGGGAGGGGAAGAGACAGAGAGAAAAACATTGATGAGAGAGATACATCGATCAGTTGCCTCCTGCATGTGCCCTGACCAGGGCCAGGGATCAAGCCCACAACCCAGGTACGTACCCTTGACTGGGAATCGAACCCAAGATCCTTCAGTCAGGGGGCCAATGCTCTAACCCAGCCGTGGGCAAACTACGGCCTGCGCCGGATCCGGCCCGTTTGAAATGAATAAAACTAAAAAAAAAAAAGACCGTACCCTTTTATGTAGTGATGTTTACTTTGAATTTATGTTAGTTCACACAAACACTCCATCCATGCTTTTGTTCCGGCCCTCCGGTCCAGTTTAAGAACCCATTGTGGCCCTCGAGTCAAAAAGTTTGCCCACCCCTGCTCTAACCACTGAGCCCAGCCAGCCATGGCTCTCCCTCTTTACTTCATGGAGAGCAGAGGCGATCAGAGGAGAACACTCTGCTCTTTCCTTGATGGACTCAGCGATCCTCTGGACAGCCTGCCGTCTGCCACCACGGAGCTGCCCAGAGGTGCTTCCCTCAGCAGATGGGGCTCCTGAGGGAGGAAGGCCTGGTACCCACTGGGCTCTGTAGCCACAGCTCCCTGCCCAGCTGGACACACGGCCGGGGCCAAGCATATCTGTGCTGATCCGTCAGGACTACGGGGGATGGTACCAGAGGTGCACGCCCCCCTGCTCCCATAGGGTCAGAGGTCCTTGCAGACCCCACCCCAGGCTTTGACCACCGACCAGCCGTGTGTAAAGCATCGGCTGGACAGACGGAGCACTTTCCCCTGGAAGATGGAGACGAGTAGGAAGAGTGAGCATCCGGAAGCAGCTGGGTGATTCACGGAGATGCTAACGGGAGCCGAGCCCTCCCCGGCCCCGCTCGGCCTTGTTGGCATCTGGTTCACCTCCGCGGCTGCCCTCCCTCCTCGGGCTCTGCAACCACAGCGCGTAAATACTGCGGTAGCCTGTGCCCGGGCGTCGGGGACATTGGCCGTGGTGATAAAAATGTCTGTCGCAGGATCCTGGGGGTGCGTCGTGTGAAAGATGGACTGGAGACGGGACGCAGTGCATGTCAATTCCAGGGCTGGGGTGTGGGCTCCAGGCACAAAGGCAGCCTGGGGGGCAGGAGGAAGGAGGGGCTGTCCATGGGCCCCCGGGGCTCCCCCCGAGCTGCCTGCTGCTCCCTGCACCTGTGCTTTGGGCCCAGGGTTGAGCTGTGACTGGGCCCCAACGAGAGGCCCGCACGTGTTCATGGTCCCAGCCCTCACGCTGCCTCAGAGGGAAAACAGCTGGATGGGGCCAGTGCCCCTACGAGGGGCAGGAGGAGAGGGTTCCTCAGTGGGAACCGGGGGGAGGGGTTGGAGTGGATGGAAAGGAGGATCTCTAAGCAAGGTCATCCTGAAGGTCCGGCACGATTCATGCAAGGCCTCCGGGGGGGGGGGGGGGGACTGCAGAGAGGACCCCAGAGCAAGCAGAAGGGCAGGCCACAGCTCCATGGCTTTGCCGTGACAACAGGACTCACACGGATTGGACCCTTGCTCGGTGCCACGCACGGCGCTGAGCATTTTAAGTGGACTGTCTCGTTTATGCTCCAATAACCACGCAGTCAGCATATTCCACCAGCTCCACATTCCCATGAAGGAAACCGAGGCACCGAGAGATCAAGGACACATGTGGGGAGGCTGGACAGAACCACCGGAAGGCAAGCAAGAGCTGCCCGCCTGGGCGGGGTCGCCATGGAAACGCAAGGCAGAGACCTGTCAGCCGCTGCTGTCACCACCAGGAGGCAGACGGTCGGAAGAGGGAACTGAAATGCCAACTGGGGCCACGCACCGTGTTAATCAGAGGGTTACCTGATCAGTCAGGCCGCAGAGGAGGGGGCACGTGGACACCGTCCTACCTCAGGTCGGTGCTGGGTGCACGCAGGGAGCGGCTGCTGCCAGGAGGCAGGTCCTCCCCCAGGGTCCACGCCCGCAGGCTCCACGGGGCCTCGCCACACACAGGGACATCCGGTCTGGTGGTTCATAGACATCCGTGTCCTCAGAGAACAGGAGAGGGCAGTCCCTCAGCCGGAATCTTCAACGTGCTCCTCCTTCAGAACCTGTAATAAAATGACAGACTTCATCGTTTTTATTATTGATTTCCGAGAGGAAGGAGAGAGAGAGAGAAACACCAATGAGAGAGAAACATCCACTGGCTGCCTCTTGCATGCCTCACACTGGGGATCGAGCCCACAACCTGGCATGTTCCCTGACTGGGTATCCAACTGTGACCTCCTGGTTCATGGGTGACGCTCAACCACTGAGCCACACTGGCCGGGCCTAGGGGCTGTTTTTAAGAGTTTTGTCTTGCCTCTCAACATAGACTAGAAACCTGTGCAAGGACTAAGGCCACTCCTGCACCTGTAGGCACCCCCTCACACAGCATTGCCGCCCGCTTGACCAGGCCTGTCCCAGTGCAGCCAGGAGGGTCACATGCATTACTTCCCCAAAGACCCTGTGCTACTCGACCATCGGCTCTGTCTCACATGGAAGGAAACAGACTGGAGTCAGGGCCTCTCCGGGGCTGGGGCTGTTGCACCCAGCACACCCCTGGGGGCGCCCTTTGTGCAGCCTCCGGGGCTGTGCGGTGC